AACAAAGCCATGCCTGGCCGGTGTGGCTCAGTGGTTGAGCATCCACCTATGAACCAAGAGGTCATGGTTCAATTCCCTGTCAGGGCATGTGCCCAGGTTGTGGCTTGATCCCCTGTGGGGGGCATGCAGGAGACAATGATTTTCTTTCATCATTGATATTTCTCTCTCTCTCCCTTCTTTCATCCTCTCCAAAATCAATAAAAACATGTTCTTAAAAAAGAAACAAAGCCATGACATCTACCATTTCCACTTGTGTCAGAGAAATTCCTAGCAGTGCAAATTCTTGGATCAAAGGGTCTGTGCATTTAAAATATTGGTAGATGTGGCTAGATAGGATTTTACCACCTTACCCTCTCACCCACAATGTACCAGTGTGCCTGTTTCCTCACACTTACACCCAAATGGTAAGTTATCAGACATCCCAAACTTCGCCAATCTAGTTTATTGGTGTAGTATTAATTTGCATTTTCTCATTATAAGTGAGGCTGAACATCTTGTCACACGTTTCAGAGTCATTTGTATTTTCTTTTCTGAATTGTACAATAATTTGCCTCTTTGTCTATTGGGCTATGAGTCTTTTGTTATTTATTTGAATGTCTTCTTTACACATCAAAGGCACTATCCCTTTGTCTGCATGGTAAGCTTCAAAAACAAATTTTTAAACAAGTTGCTTTTAGACAGAAATGAAACGTTTTTTGCAGGCTGCATCATTTTCTGTGCATCACTGCAGGGCCCTGCAAGGGCCGAGAGCAGCTGTGCCATGTAGAATTCTAGAAGGCAATGCTAGACCTGGCAGTGGTGGTGGGGAAGTTGGGGTAGGCAAGGAGGGAGTTGTTAGCTCTTGCACTTGTTGGAAAGGACTGTCACAGAAGACCGTGAAGTCCCCATTGCAGGAAGTGGGCAAGACAGGCTAGCCTGGCTCTAAGACCCTTTGCCCTTCATCTAAAACAGCTGAGGATGGACAAGTCAGAAATGAGAGGACACACCAATAGGGCTGTCATTTTCTGATGTTTTAGGACTGTTTGTTTGGGTGGTTAATAGTTATATAAACTCCCTAGAATGTAAGCTTCATGGGCCCAGGGTTCAAGTGCTAAAAAAACACACAAAACAGTTGTGGAATGAATTAATGAATAAATGAATGAATGGTGGAATGAATGAATGAGTCTAATCAAAGGATGTGAGAGGCTGCTGTTTTTGAGCCAGGAGGGAGCCTCTTCCCCTTCCCAAAAGGACCTGCCCTCTCCTCTTCCTTCCTCTTACCCCAACTGGGTCAGAACTTAGCATCTCTTATCTGGGCGTTGTCCCAGCCTACTGTCCCACTCCCCAGCACCCAGGCTTTCTTCTGTTCTCCAGTCAACCCTCCTCGCCAAGCAGCTAGATTCACTTCGGACGATGTAAGCCATGTAGTCACTCCCCATTGCCTAATCTTCCCTGTTCCTAAAGGGTCTTACTCCTCTAGCTCCCTCTCTGATGCCCTGCCCCCCACCTCACTCACCCCATATTCCTCCAGCAGCAATAATATGGTCACATTTATGGAACACTTACTATATGTACTTTTACATGGATGATCTTAAGTGTCACAATAACCTATGAGATCTTTAAGGGGGATACGATTATTATTCCCATTTTATAGAGAAGAAAACTAAGGCCCAGAGACATTTAGGGCCTTACCCAAAGTCACCCAACTAGCAGATGTCAGAGTTGGTATTCAAAACTCACTCAGTCTAACCCGGGTGGTTGGGGGTGGGGCAGAGCATCTAACCACGCTCTAGTGCTAACCGGTCACTAGTCTTAGAGTGTGCCATGCTCCTTCGAACTCCCTGACCTTTGCTTATGTTGACCCCACCTGGAAGGCTTCTCCTCGTACAGTATACCTGCCCCAAATCTTGCTCTTCCTTCAAAGTCTTGCTCATAAGTCACTTTCTCTGCAAAGCTTTTTCCATCTTCCCCAGAAAGAGCTGTTTCTCACTCTCCGGTTTTAAAATTGAGAACTTTGCTTCCCCATCAGGCCCAGAGCCCTCAGTGGGCAGGAACTGTTCTGTATCTCCCTTCAGTGTTTGGCACAGTGCCTGGCACAGAGTGAGTGCTCTCTAAAGGTTTGGTGCCCTCGCCCTAACTGGTTTGGCTCAATGGATAGAGCGTCGGCCTGTGGACTCAAGGGTCCCGGGTTCGATTCTGGTTAAGGGCATGTACCTTGGTTGTGGGCACATCCCCAGTAGGAGGTGTGCAGGAGGCAGCTGATCGATGTTTCTCTCTCATCGATGTTTCTAACTCTCTAACCCTCTCCCTTCCTCTCTGTAAAAAATTAATAAAATATTAAAAAAAAAAAAAAAGGTTTGGTGACCAAATGACTGGCCCCAGGACTCCTCCCCAACACACAGTTGTGAGGCACTGCTAGGCATCTCCAGTTGGAAGCCAGGAGGGAGTAGGAAGTTGCAGGGTCCCAAAGTAGGAGGAGCTTAATGTAGGGGTAAAGATAATGTCATTAACTTCATCACTCATACATGGGGCAGTTCTGTCCCCAGGGGATCCAGCTGGTAGGGAAGTTCCATCCTTACCCCATCCCTATAAATCTTTGGGAATCAGCTGTCCACCCCCAGGGGGTTTCCCCTCTTGCAGTGCCAGGAACTGAACCATGATGGGAAGTGATCTTGGCTGCGTCTCTGGACACCACAGGAGGAAGTGTGGCCAGAGTGCTCATGCTCAGAGCCTGGGCCACCCCAGCCAGAGCTCTTTGGACTTCAGTAACTAGGGGTTACGTGGCTTTGGTAACAGGGTAGTTCCGGGGTGGTGGGGACTTCCTCGGTTGAGGGAAATTGCTCCATTGCCAGAGCTGTGGGGTAAGAACTGTTCCAGGGCCTCTCAGCAGCCCGTCACTGTGCCCTGACCAGGACTGTGGGCAATTTCAGAGCTTGCAAAAGCCTTAGGCCTTTGAGAGAGTCTTCTAGCTCTTTGGCCCCAGTCTCTAACCAACTGACTCCTCCCTCTAAGGCTGTCTCACTTAGGAGCCTAGTAAGGCTTTCTGTAGCCTCAGGTCCAAATGCCTCAGCCTGAGATCACTACTTCCCGCAGTCTGGTAGACAGGATAGCTGGGCAACTAGGAGCATGGGCTCTGGGGTTAGCCAGCTATGGGTCCAAATCTCAGTTCACTGTGTGACCTTGGGTCATTCACTTACCTCCTTGAGTTCCAGTTCCTTCAGCCATAAAATGAGGATAAATAGACTTGAAAAGATCAAAATTAAGGATTTGTTCAATGGAACAAAGTTGCTCCAAGAAAAGCACCCTAGACCAGTGGTTCTCAAAGTGTGATCCCTGGACCATCACCGTCACCTAAATACTTGTTAAAAATGCAAATTCTTGGGACTCATACTTGCTCTATTGAGCCAGAACCTTGGGGTGGAGTTTTCAATCTGTGTTTTAGCAAACCTTGCGGAGATTCTAACACATGTGAAAGTTTGAGAACCACTGCCATAGCTAACATATGGGCAACATATTGGGAGAAGGTGTCTGGAACATCACCAGCCAACAAGAGGTTAATATCTAAAATGTATGAGTTACCCCTGCAAATCAACAAGAGAAAGACAAGAAACCCAATAAATAATGGGCAAAAGATCTGGACAGGCAGTTCACTGAAGGGTAGCCCAAATGCCTGACAAGTATAGCAGGAGGTTCTGAATTTCAGGATTAATAGAGAAATACAAGTTAAAACAATGAGAGGCCACCTTATCACCCAATCTCTAGGCAAAATTACAAAGTCCGATAATGTAGAAGCTGATGAAAGCATGGGGAGAGAGCATCCTTCTCAGGTTGCTAGTGGAGCCACTTTAGCAGAATTTACTGACATTTAAAACCGATTTGACCTGTGATCTAGTAATTCTACTCTTGAGTACAGAGTCTGAAGAAGTTTTCATGTAGCTCCATAAGAGTCATCCACAAAGATGTGAATCTCAGTGTTGTTTGTGGTAAGAGGGAGTTGGAAACAACCTGAGTGTCCATCACTGCGGGGAATGGATACATAAAACAGTGGATGCTCAGCTTGGAATATTTTGCAACAAGCTAGATGGGTAGATCTTAAAAACATATTATGAAGTGAAAAAGAAGCAACAAAATGAGATCCTTACCCAATACTATTTATGTAGTGTAAACACACACACAAAGCATTGTATGTATTTATGTCCAGGGACATATATCAACACATAGGAGTGGGTGCCCATGATGGGGAGGAGGAGTGTGGGGAATGTGTAGATACAAGGGGAAAATAAGACAAAGCAAAATATCAAAAGTGTCTTGCACAGACCAATTATGCTGAGATGGTCACTTGCCACAAACTGAGTATGAACCATGGAACTCTCTGGAGCTGAAGCCCTAACAATAATATTATTATTTTAAAATGGGTGATAGTAGCCCTGGCTGGGTACCTCAGTTGGTTAGAGCATCATCCGATATGCTAAGGTTGTGGGTTCAATCCCCAGTCAGGGCACATACAAGAATCAACCAATGAATGCATTACATAAGTGGAACAACAAAAATCAATGTTTCTCTCTCTCTCTCAATCAATTTAAAAAATGGGTAATAATAATACCTACCTCCTAGTAAGTACCATGTATCTTGCCATGGAGGGCTCTGTAATGTTATTATAAACTAGAGGCCTGGTGCACAAAATTCATGCACTGGCCGGGGGAGGGGGGGGGGTTTCCCTCAGCCCAGCGTTCACCCTCTCCAATCTGGGACCCCTTGGGGGATGTCTGACTGCCGGTTTAGGTCCGATCCCACAGGATTGGCAGTCGGACATCCCTCTCACAATCTGGGACTGCTGGCTCCCAACCGCTCGCCTGCCTGCCAGCCTGATCACCCCTTAACCACTCCCCTGCCTGCCTGATCGACGCCTAACTGCTCCCCTGCTGGCCCGATCACCCCCAACTGCCCTCCCCTGCCAACCTGGTTGCCCCCAACTGCCCTCCCTTGCTGGCCCGATCACCCCCAACTGCCCTCCCCTGCCAATCTGGTTGCCCCTAACTGCCCTCCCCTACTGGCCTGATTGCCCACAACTGCCCTCCCCTGCCGGCCATCTTGTGACCACATACATAGGAGCGGCCATCTTGGGCGAGGGAGTGATGGTCAATTTGCATTTCACACCTTTATTATATAGGATAAACTTGCCTAGCTCTTCTAGGCAAGTCTCTGGTTTCCTTTCAGGGCTCATTTCTTTTAGCCTCCAAGCCTGTACTTGGGCTGGGCCACATGCTGTATTTATGCTTCTTGCCCTCTCCAACCCTGCCTTTAGGTTCCTTTGGCTACCCAAGACCACTGAAATGGCTCTGTGGAGTCTTGGGTACTTTTCTGGCTTAAGCATGAAGCCAGGCTGCAATGGAGCTGTGCGGGCAAGTCCTATTTCCTCTTCCCAAATTGTGCTCCCTCAGGGTCTTCTTAGATCTCATTCCCACCTCATTCCCAGCCCATTGCACACAGGGTAAAGACAGGTAAACTGAGTCAGAACATGTTAGTTGCGGAAGGGAACAGCCTTTATTGAGTGCCTGTCATGTGGCAGACCCAGCACTCAGGTCTTGACCTTTGTTCATCTCCATGACCTCCCTCTGAGGCAGGTGGGGCCCATGTCATCTGACAGGGAGGAGATGGGGGCCTAGGGGACCTAACCACGGCCCCTCTCAGGGGTCTTGGGTAGCCAAAGAAATCCAAAGGCAGGGTTGGAGAGGGCAGCCCTAGGTCTGTCTGGCTCCAAATCAAAGATGTGAATAAGCAACTTGATTGGAGCCTTCGGACTGGGATCCAGATCGCCCTCCTCCGAGTCAACTCTCAGTAGAGAAAAACCTCTACTCCACACTGATGATCTGATTCAGTGGTGGTGGGGGAGTCCCTGCTATTTAGAGCCTTAAAGATACCCTCTACAGATTGGGCCTGGTCGGTTTGAGATAACATCGCAGGCCAATCAGGAGATTCCCTCCAGTCCCTTTCCCTCTTTTAAACCTCAGTCTCTCCAACTGTAGAGCAGGAGGAACTGGTCTCTGGGCTGTGGGGATTCTTCCCTCAGTCGGCCAGAAGGTGGAGCCCACTCATCACCCCTAGCGAGGCCTTCAGAAAGAAGCGCAGTCCAGGGAGGAGGGGTGTCCTGGTGCGGATCCCGGGGGCCAGGGGGACGTGCCCATCCCGGGCGGGCGGGCAGAGTAGAGTGGCTAGCTGAGCCCCAAGCGACTGCCTCGGACTTTAGGAACCGGAGCCCTACGGGCAGGATCTGAGACGGGAATGGAGGCCGGATTTGGGGGTGGGGGTGGGGTGAGGAGGGGCCCTGAGGATGGGCACCTCCCCAGACCAGAGCGAGAGTCCAAGGCGAGGTTGCAGGGCCACGCGCTCCGCCTTCCGCCTGGGCGCAGCCACAGGCTACAGGTAGTTGTCTTCGGATGCCTCATTCCCGCCCGGGGAGCCCCGCGCCTCCTCGTCTGTGCTGTCCTCGTCGTCGTCGTCGGGGGCCAGCGCCTCAATGTCGTGCGTGATGTCCGCCAGCAGCCGGTGGAAGGTCTGCTCCTCGGGCCGCTGGGCCGCGCCGTCGTAGCTGCGCACCGCGGACGCCGACGTGGAGCTCATGCTGCGCTTGATGCGGCCGAAGCTGTCGGTGAGGATGCCGCCCTCGCGGATGCCCACGCCCTCCAGGAAGCCCTCGAAGTAGCCAATGTCCTGGTCCTGGATGAAGGGCCGCATCCCTGCGGGCCAAGGGGCAGGTGACTCCTGGGGGTTCAGCCCTTTCCCCTCCCACAGAGGGGTCACCTTCGTTGGAAATCCGGGTTCAGGTCCCCGCCCACCCCTCACCGGCTGTGTGGCCTTGCACAAGTTCCTTGACTCTGAGCCAGAGAATAAGGACAGATTTCGTGGTTCCCGGTACATGCTCATTGCACGTTAGCTTATTATTGCTACATCCCCATTACAGAGGTGTGTGACCCCCATTAAATAACTACTCTGGGCCCTGGCTGGTGGCTCAGTTGGTTGGAGAGTTTTCAATATGCCAGGGTTGCAGGTTCCATCCCTGATCAAGGCATATGCAGGAGTCAACCAATGAATTCATGAAGTTTCTCCCCCACCCCCCCCGCCTGTTTAAAATCAATAAATTAAAAAAAACACACAGAACTCTTCAGAGCTCTACTTTCCTCCCGGGGAAAATTGAGGAAAGTACACATCTTCTCCTGGTAGGTTTGTTAGGATTAAATAAGGTGCTCAGCACACAGAGTGCCCCATAAAAGTGAGCTCATTTCAATCCAGTCACTACTAACTATGTGACTTCAGCACTTTGCTTCTCTGAGCCTCAGTTTGCTAATCCGCAAAACCGGGGTAAATAATAGTTTCTACTTCCCAGATCTGAGGCCATTCAATGAGGTGATGCTTGGCACATGGTAATGGCCAAATACATGTTAACTTAGTAACACGATCATTCCCACTGTTGTTTTACTAGCCCTCCTCACTGGCTGTGTGACCTTGAACAAGCTCCTTAGCCTCTCTGAGCCTTAGCTTCCTCAGGGGGTCAGATGGGAAGAATCCTTTCCTCTCCCAGGTTTGCTGTGAAGATGGAATGGTTATACCAGTGCTTTGTTCTTACTGACTTTGTGACTGCAGGCAAGTCCCTTCTCTCTGCACCTCGGTCTTCTCATATGCTCCCTGGATCTCATCATCTTGGCCTTATCAGAGGCTGAGAGATAAGGAACAAACACTCCTGGCCTGGAGACTGACCAGGAATGTCATGACCATGCAGGGGCCTTGGCTGACCTTTGGGGGGGTGGGGGGGGGGGGGGGGGGTGGGGGGCTCACCGAGGAGGAAGAACTTGCGCCGGTCTCCATAGAGCTTCAACAAGCCCGAACAATAGTCCTGGATGGGCAGCCCCAGCCTGTACTCCCGCAGCAGCAGGGCAAACTGCTGGATCTCAAGGGGGCCCAGTTTACTCCGCAACTGTGGGGACACCATTCGAGATCAATCCCAGGAAGCACTCCGATCCAACCCCTTCCTGAAACGCCCAGAGCCCTCTCTAAGGGCATACCTGGCCCAGCCCTCCTCTGAAAATGCTCGCTGACATTAGTTTAGGCCTTTCAGCAAGCTGGCCTCAGTGTACTCTCCTAACTTCACGTCCCACTCTGGGTCTTATGCTTCAGTCATGTCCAAGATTATTTATGATTCCTGAAATAACCTATGTTTCCTCCAATTTCTAGGCCTTTGCTTGTGCTGTCTGCACTGGTGCCCCAGCTCACCGTGACCATGTAATCCTGCAATTGCTCCAGGCCCAAGGCGCTGTGGTCGCTGCCGCTGCAGTGCGAGTCATGGAAAGAGGGTGTGGATGTGCCGCTGTAACACGCTTCAAATGTGTCCTGGGAGCCATTGCTGCAGGGACAACAGAAAGGAGTCCTCACTCATCTCTCTCCAGCTCCTCTCCTGCCGTGGGTGGAACGTGGGAGGGCATAGCTGCCAGTGCTCTGGGCCTGAGGCCTCATCCTAGGTCCCATTTTCTCCTTCAGGGCCCCACATTATCTGGCTGCCTCTCAAGCCTCTCCTCACTCTTGCTGTTTGTGCTCAGGCCACCCTGCCTTCCTTTCCTCTAATACTCCAAGTACCTTTATACCTCTGGGCCTTTGCACATTCTGTTCCATCATCCTGGAATGTCTCTCTCCCCCTATCTTTTGCTCACCTAATTCTTATTCATCATTGGATTTTATTTTATTTTATTTTTTATTTTGAGAGTACATTTATTAAAGCTGGGGACAGTAAAACAAGAAAGGGCCTACGATAGAAGAAACAGGGGAGAGTAGCTGGGGCTGCTTTGGCTCTCTAGAAATTTTATGAGAAAAAAGTGAGCCAAGGTGGGGCTGCTGTCAGCTCACTGGAGTTAGAGAAAAGAGGCCTTGGAGACAGGTTCAAGGGGTTAACCTGGGACAAGCTGCCACTGCCCATTGCTCCCTGGTTGCAAGCCTCTGGGGGTCCCTTAGAGTTTAGGAGATGCATGGGCCTGCTCCAGGGAAAGAGAGTACCTAGATTTTAAATGTCATCTTCTCAGGAAAATTTTCCCTGATCCCCCCCAGACTGGGTTAGACCCTCTATCAAATGAGGTCACAGAGTCTACTCATGACATACAAGGACTTTCCAAATCTCACCAAACATTCTCTCTGACCATAGTCACTGCCATAGTCACAGGGGCCTCCTGCTGATCCTCAAACACACCCAGCTTTATCCTGCTTCGGAATCCGTGCGCTGGCTGTGCCCTCTCCCAGAATGCTCCTTCTCCAGGTCTCAGCTCAGGTGTCCTCACCTCTGAGAGGCCCTCCTGGCACTCTGAGCTTCTCTTTAGTGCTTATTATCATTAATGCTCATCACTATTAAATACTGACTTCTTTGTCACTTGTGCTAGGCGGTAAACCATGCAAGAGCAGGGGACTTGTGTTTCTTCATTTGCTGTGTACCTACTATGTGTTAAGCATGGGGGTTATCCTTGTCTTGTTCCCCACTGTATCCCTAGCACACAGCACAGTGCCTGGCAATAAATATTGCTTAATAAAAAGTCAACCTGCCTCCCGGACTTTACCTTTTCTATTACCTACGGAGAAGCAGTGTAGCATGGTGGTGAGATTTTTTTTTCTTTTTTTAATCCTACATTTTCCAGCCTGCCTACTTGTAGCCATGTGACCAAGTTCTGGCCAATGAGATGTAAGCAAACATTGCCAATGGGAATGCCAGCAGAGCTCTTTCAAGAGGCCCCTGGCATGCTGCCCCCCTGGCTGGAGCTATGACCACCTTCTTGGGACATGAGGTGGCCTTCAGGATGGAAGTAAGTGCTGAGGAGGGAGGAAAAGAGAGGCCTGGGCCCCTAACAACCATGAGACCATGCATGAAATGCTGGCCTAATATTTTATGTAAAAGACAGGGGAGAAATGCTCCATCTTGTTTAAGCTATTCTTCTTTTTCAGGGTTTTCTATTACATGGAGCCTCAGCTAAAATAAACCAAAACGACTCTTTGGCGTTAGCTGTGGTTTTGGACCTTGCAGGCCACTCAGTCTGGATGACTAGGAGAGAACCACAGGCCTACGTAGGCCCACTTCCTAGGTCTCTCAGGGCATGAATCCTCTGAGCTCATCAGAGTTCAGTTTACCTCCCACCCTAATGGCCAATGTCTCAGCACAAATCAAAGTGGGGTCACTTTCTCCCACTTTTCTTACCCACAGGGGTTCAAGAATGCCTAGAAGCACAACCCTGTTTATGAACAGATGTGTGTGTGTGTGTGGGGGGGGGGCGAGAGTGGGGTCCCCAGCAAGGGTGGTACCCACAAAGAGCTGCAGCAGCTGAAGTCGGCATCATAGGCGTAAGTCCCGTCGGTTCGGCAGCTGTCACCTGGGACCACAGACAGAGGGGCTGTCAGAGGAAGCAAAGCAGGGACCAGCCTCCCCGGCCTCTGAGGCCTCAACCTCAGTCCCTCCCTGGGGTTGGGATGGTGGCTGGAACAGATGGCCTTGTAAACAATTATAAGGACGTTAGCATTTACTCGGAAATGGGCAGCGACTGGAAGCTGCTAACCACGATTCCTGCCCCCCGCTCCCCTGCCACACACACACACCTCACCTCCATGACACACAGATGATCTTGGGCAACTCACCTCCTGTCACCTGGCCCTCAACTTCCCCAACATTGGGACATCACCGTCCTGTCTACCTCAGAGGCTCTTGGGTATAACAGCGGTGGGAACAGGTGAGGGTGCATTTTGTAAACTGGATGTGTTTGAGGTGGCACAAAAAAGAACTTTGAGAGGGAAGGGAATCAGTCTTGAGAGTAAAGAAGCACTGTTTACAGAGAACTGGCTCTGTGCCTAGCCCTGTTATCTCACTGATGCCAGGTACTAGCCTCACCTTCGGATCCTGGCTCACTCAATGTCACTTCCTTAGGACACCCCTGAGTCCCCAGGCCAGGCTGGGTCCTCATTATATGTTCTCATAGCACAGCATGTGGTTGCACTGCATTTTTGTAACTATTTAACTACTGTCACATTACCTCAGCAATGCAAGCCTCATAAGGGCAGGGCCACACCTGGTTTTGCTCAGCAATATATCCTGGCGGTTAGCAGAGCCCTGCATATAGTAGGTGCTCAATAAATATTTGTCGAATGAATTTCTTGAAATATTTATTGCATTACCTCATTTATTTGCCTATCATTCCTGTGACCGTTAATGAGTTATCCCAGCTTCCTCAAGCCAAGTTTCTACAGATGGGAGTGCCTCCGGAAGTGAAGAGCCATCTCCCTGTCGCTGGAACTATGCAAACAGGGACCGCACTGAGGGGGCTGTGCCTGAGGAAACCCACTTAGTGGCCTTGAAGGCAGCACGGGGAGTGAAGCTGGTGCAAACAGGAGCTTTAGAATCAGAATACCTGCGTTTGAATCCCAACTCTGACACTTAGCAGCTGTGTAAGCTTGACTAATTTATTGACTACTCTGAACCTTGATGTCCTCATCTGTGAAATCGGAATCATAAGGCCTCACAGAGAGTTCTTTCATTCATTCAAAAACATAAAATTGAGCATCTGTGATGCCCCTGTTCCTGGGCGAGGCACACAGGATACAGTGCCAAACAGGACAGACAAGGCTACTTGGCACATCGTTGGTGCCCAGTAAATTCTCTCTGGGTCTCATTCTCATTCCAGCCCTTGATTGTATTCAAGGACCAGTCTTGAAATTTTGGTTTTGACCTACTGTCCTAGCGGGGCTAGCCAGCTTTACAGACAGACAATGCTCTATCTTAAGTTTCTGCAAAAGAAGGAACACCAAAAACAAAAGGGGGAGAGAAGTTCAGCTGCTCTGAATCTGACAACCAGAACATCTGTGAAGCAGCTAGGTCTGAGGTCATCGTGAAAACGGACATTTTTTAAGAACCCCATCTTGGGGTACACTGTAATTGCAGGAGAGATAGAACCCCTAAAGGCTTTCAGTGGCCCTAAGTCTTGGGGCATCCTCCCTCCCCTGGCCTTTCGGGATGTTTCATAGGAGAGGAGGCCAGGAGTTCGACTACTCACTGCGGCTGCAGAGCCACGGCCTTTCGGGCGTGGATGTGTAGTGGTAGCCAGCCCGGTCCACGCACTCGATGCTCTGGTCCCCGTAGATGATCTGGAAGACCTGACAGATGAGGGCACAGGACTCCTCGGCAGCATCCTGGCCCAGGGAGGAGGAGGCACAGTGTGAGGAGGCTCACAGAGACACACATACCTTTTAATAAAAGGGCTTTGAGGGTATTTCCCATCAAAATGATTTCCCATCAAAATGGCTGTTCTTGGGGTCTTGGACGCCTTTGTAGACTCCAGTGATGATTCTAACCCTCCTGTCCTGAAAAAGGCACACATGCAACCCAATTTCCTGAGGATTCATGGGCCCTCCTGAAGCTTATCTAAAAGAAGCCCCTCGCCCTAGACAGTTTGGCTCAGGGAATAGAGCATCGGCCAGCGGTCTGAAGGGTCCCAGGTTCGATTCCATTCAAGGGCACATACCTGAGTTGCAGGCTCAATCCTCAGTGTGGGGCATGCAGGAGGCAGCGATCAACGATTCTCTTTCATCATTGATGTTTCTATCTCTCTCTCCCTCTCCCTTTCTCTCTGAAATCAATAAAAATATTTAAAAAAAATAAATAAAATAATCCCCAATTTGTTTTAGTCTACAGGTAGGAAGCTGAAATCCAGAGAGGTAAAGTGATTAGCCACGACTAGAGCCAGGTCTCCCACTACCTAGTAGGAGAAGGAAGAATTAAGTGTATAAAAAGTGTTAGGTTCCACATAGTTACTACACTACCAGATGCCATATTTAGATATGAGCTTCCTGGCACCCAGGGCAAAAATGGAAGCAGGATGAATACATAAAGTTCAGTCTCTGGTAGAAGGAGGGAACTGAAGTCCTTGGGTGAAATTTTTTGGAGATTACAAATATAAAGAATTTGTTTTATTTTTAAAAAATATTTTTATTGATTTCAGAGAGGAAGGGAGAGGGAGAGAGAGATAAAAACATCAAAGATGAGAGGGAATCTTTCATTGGCTGCCTCTTGCACACTCCCTACTGGGGATTGAGCCTGCAACCCAGGCATGTGCCTTTGACCGGAATCAAAGCCAGGATCCTGACACTCTACCCACTCAGCCAAACCAGCTAGGGCAGAATTTGCTTCTTTAATTGACTTCGTTATGCCTTCAAGCAAGAGACACAGAAAGACTACAAATGATGAAGAGATTAACTCCATGAGGGCATTTCCTATTTTGTATCTCTAAAAAAAAAAAAAAAAAGAAGAAGAAGCTCAGGTGTAAATTAAAATGTGACCCAGGATAGGCATTTTGGGATGGTTATATTTTTAAAATAGGGCCAAGAGGATTTGTTGATAGAGTGGATATGGGTTGTGTGAAAGAGAACGGGGAGCCAAAGATCACTGCAAAGTTTTGGTAAAAGCAACAGAAGGACAGAGCTGCCATCAGTCAAGACAGGGAGACCAAGGCAGGAACAGGTTTGGGGGAGAAGAGTGGGAGCTCAGATTTTATGTCATTAGACCTTTGAATGAAGGGGCAGAGTGGAAAAACGTGTCTGGAGATTTGATGATGAGAGAGAAACTTTCTAGGGAGTTCTCAGTGTTTTAAATGCCCCAAGACGAGAAGAGACCATCTAGGGATGGGTGTAAGGACTAAGCCTGGAGCACGCCAGCCTTAAGAAGCTGAGGAGAAGAGGAGGAAGCAGCTCTAGAGAAGGAGCAGCCAGGGACACGGGTAGGAGGGAACCAGGAGAATGGGGAGAGCTGGAAGCCAAGTGAGAAAGTGTTTCAAGGAAGAGCGCATCAGCTCCGGAGTCCAAGTTTTCTGATGAGTATCCATCTCTCCTTTTGGAAAGGCAACATGTCTGTTTTGTTCACCATGGGACCCTGGGCCGGAGGAAAAGCTTAGAAGCCACAGGGCTGGACGGTGTCTGCTAGACTGTGAGCGCCCTAAGGGAGGACACCAGGTATATTTCCTTTATCTCTGTACCCACAGCACCCAGCCCAATACCCAGCACAAGATGGCACTCAAATATGGTCAAATGAATAAAAGCAAAGGTGACGGTGGAGAATGGGTGGAGGGAGGGTAGGCAAGGAAAGAATGGCAGAAAGGCTTCTGCCTTGGGTGACGACACAGTCCCCACGAGTATAGGCCCTGAACTTCCTGGGTACCAATGTTGAAATGGCCACCTGATTCCTGTGTGACCTTGCACAAGTTACTTAGTCTCACGGTTTCCTTCTCTATGGAATGGATGTGACTGAAATATTCCCCTCTACTGGTTACTGTTAGAATGAAATAAGTTAATGCTGGTTCTGTGTCTGGCATGGGTTGGCACTCCATTCATGCTGGGGATTTGTGTCCTGATGATTGTTACTGTGGCAGTTCGGACACTGATGATATTGGAGAAAGAGCAGGGTTGGAGGAGGGATGAAATCAAGTCTATTTTGAGTTTCATCCTATTGGGACAGTAAGGGGGAAGTGTCCTGCAAGGGTCCGGGGCTGGCGTCTAGAAGTCTTTTGGCGTCATGGGCTCACAGGTAGTAACTGAAGTCCTAGGTAGGGCAGAGGGAGGGAGAAGGAAAGAGGCCAGGGTGGAGCCCAGGAACCTCGTGAATGGGGCAGGATTGGGGGGGAGGGGAGGGGCGGGGTAAAGCGGCACCAGCCCAGCCCCGACGCGCCCGGGAGCAGAGCGCAGCGGCGTGGGGTGCCCGAAGGCTCACCCTGTTGGCCACAGCCAGGATGACGAGGTTGCAGTAGGCGTCGGGGCTGGGGTCCTGCGGGTCCAGAGGGTTGGAGCCCGGGTGGCGCCGCTCCCAGCTGCCGCCGCCGCCCGCCTGCCTCCGCTCCCAGCTGCCCCCCGGCTTGCCGCCGCCGCCGCCGCCGCCGCCGCCGTGCCGCCGCTCCCAGCTGCCGCTGAACGTCTGCCGCCGCTCCCAGCTGCCCGACGCCCGCGCCCCGGCGCGCTGGCGCTCCAGGCTGCCGCCGCCGCCCCCGGCCCGGGCTTCGGCCCCCGCGCCCCCGCCCCACGCCATCCGCCAGTCCAGGCTGCAGATGGTGTGGCGCCGCTCTGTGGTGCCCACCCGCCGCTTCTCGGGAGCGGCGCCGGGCGGGCCCGGGTCGCGTCCGGCCCCGCCTGGGCTGGCGTCTACACCGGCCGGCACCGGGTCCACGCCCAGACCTAGGAGAGGCGGGGGAGACTTCAGCCACAGGAGGTTGGGCTAAGAGTGCCCCCCGGCGGCCACCCGGGGGACCTGAGGGCGCCTCGGTGGTGGCCCGCCGCGCCTGGCCCTGCCCTGGCTTCAGGCCCCACCCTTAGCTTAAAAGTCCTGAGGCCAGACCCCCTCTCACTCCGGGTGCTTGCTCTCGGGGCGCACCGTCCCGGCCTCAGGCTCCACCCCTAGTTTTGGCTCCGCAGGCCGTTCCCCCCTGCCCCCCCCCTCCCCCCAGTGCTCCTCGTCTCAGATCTTGACAAAGGTCCTAGGGGTGGTCAGACTGTCCCTTCCCTCTGTACCCTTAACGCGGACCTTGTCCCTGGTTTCAGAGCCCCCTTCTAGGATTCCGTCTTCCCTTCAACGCCGCCCCTGGCCTCAGGCTTCACCCTAATTTGGCAAGGTCTGACATCTCCCACTGGCTACCTTACTTCGAGCTCCGCCCCCTGCGTTTGGTCCGGCCCGTCCGCCAGACTCCTCCCCTCGATCAAACTCCTCCCCACGATCAGACTCCTCCCCTCGATCAAACTCCTCCCCACGATCAGATTCCTCCCCTCGATCAGACTCCTCCCCACGATCAGACTCCTCCCCTCGATCAAACTCCTCCCCACGATCAGACCCCTCCCCTTGATCAGACTCCTCCCTACGATCAGACTCCTCCCTCGATCAGACTCCTCCCCTCGATCAGACTCCTCCCCTCGATCAGACTCCTCCCCACGATCAGACTCCTCCCCACGATCAGACTCCTCCCCTCAATCAAACTCCTCCCCTCGATCAAACTCCTCCCCACGATCAGACTCCTCCCCTCGATCAGACTCCTCCCCTCGATCAAACTCCTCCCCACGATCAGACTCCTCCCCTCGATCATACTCCTCCCCACGATCAGACCCCTCCCCTCAATCAAACTCCTCCCCTCGATCAAACTCCTCCCCTCGATCAGACTCCTCCCCACGATCAGACTCCTCCCCACGATCAGACTCCTCCCCTCAATCAAACTCCTCCCCACTATCAGACTCCTCCCCACGATCAGACTCCTCCCCTCGATCAAACTCCTCCCCACGATCAGACCCCTCCCCTTGATCAGACTCCTCCCCACGATCAGACTCCTCCCTCGATCAGACTCCTCCCCTCAATCAGACTCCTCCCCACGATCAGACTCCTCCCCACGATCAGACTCCTCCCCTCGATCAGACTCCTCCCCACGATCAGACTCCGCCCCTCAATCAAACTCCTCCCCACGATCAGACTCCTCCCCACGATCAGACTCCTCCCCTCAATCAAACTCCTCCCCACGATCAGACTCCTCCCCTCAATCAAACTCCTCCCCACGATCAGACTCCTCCCCACGATCAGACTCCTCCCCTCGATCAAACTCCTCCCCACGATCAGACCCCTCCCCTTGATCAGACTCCTCCCCACGATCAGACTCCTCCCTCGATCAGACTCCTCCCCTCAATCAGACTCCTCCCCACGATCAGACTCCTCCCCACGATCAGACTCCTCCCCTCAATCAGACTCCTCCCCACGATCAGACTCCTCCCCTCAATCAAACTCCTCCCCACGATCAGACTCCTCCCCACGATCAGACTCCTCCCCTCAATCAAACTCCTCCCCACGATCAGACTCCTCCCCTCGATCAGACTCCTCCCCTCGACCAGACTCCTCCCCTCGATCAGACTCCTCCCCTCGATCAAACTCCTCCCCACGATCAGACTCCTCCCCACGATCAAACTCCTCCCCACGATCAGACTCCTCCCCACGATCAGACTCCTCCCCACGATCAGACTCCTCCCCTCGACCAGACTCCTCCCCTCGATCAGACTCCTCCCCTCGATCAAACTCCTCCCCACGATCAGACTCCTCCCCTCGATCAAACTCCTCCCCACGATCAGACTCCTCCCCACGATCAGACTCCTCCCCACGATCAGACTCCTCCCCTCAATCAAACTCCTCCCCACGATCAGACTCCTCCCCTCGATCAAACTCCTCCCCACGATCAGACCCCTCCCCTTGATCAGACTCCTCCCCTCAATCAGACTCCTCCCCACGATCAGACTCCTCCCCTCGATCAGACTCCTCCCCACGATCAGACTCCTCCCCTCAATCAAACTCCTCCCCACGATCAGACTCCTCCCCACGATCAGACTCCTCCCCTCAATCAAACTCCTCCCCACGATCAGACTCCTCCCCTCGATCAGACTCCTCCCCTCGACCAGACTCCTCCCCTCGATCAGACTCCTCCCCACGATCAGACTCCTCCCCACGATCAGACTCCTCCCCACGATCAGACTCCTCCCCTCAATCAAACTCCTCCCCACAATCAGACTCCTCCCCACGATCAGACTCCTCCCCTCAATCAAACTCCTCCCCACGATCAGACTCCTCCCCACGATCAGACTCCTCCCACGATCAGACCCCTCCCCTCGATCAGACCCCTCCCCTCGATCAGACTCCTCCCCTCGATCAGACTCCTCCCCTCGATCAGACTCCTCCCCTCAATCAAACTCCTCCCCACGATCAGACTCCGCCCCTCAATCAAACTCCTCCCCACGATCAGACTCCTCCCCACGATCAGACTCCTCCCCTCGATCAGACTCCTCCCCACGATCAGACTCCTCCCCTCAATCAAACTCCTCCCACGATCAGACGCCTCCCCACGATCAGACCCCTCCCCTCGATCAGACTCCTCCCCTCGATCAGACTCCTCCCCTCAATCAAACTCCTCCCCACGATCAGACTCCTCCCCTCAATCAAACTCCTCCCCACGATCAGACTCCTCCCCACGATCAGACCCCTCCCCTCGATCAGACTCCTCCCCACGATCAGACTCCTCCCCTCAATCAAACTCCTCCCCACGATCAGACTCCTCCCCTCAATCAAACTCCTCCCCTCGATCAGACTCCTCCCCTCAATCAAACTCCTCCCCACGATCAGACTCCTCCCCATGATCAGACCCCTCCCCTCGATCAGACTCCTCCCCACGATCAGACTCCTCCCCTCAATCAAACTCCTCCCCACGATCAAACTCCTCCCCACGATCAGACCCCTCCCCTCGATCAGACTCCTCCCCACGATCAGACTCCTCCCCTCAATCAAACTCCTCCCCACGATCAAACTCCTCCCCACGATCAGACTCCTCCCCACGATCAGACTCCTCCCCACGATCAGACTCCTCCCCACGATCAGACCCCTCCCCTCGATCAGACTCCTCCCCACGATCAGACTCCTCCCCTCAATCAAACTCCTCCCCACGATCAAACTCCTCCCCACGATCAGACTCCTCCCCTCGATCAGACTCCTCCCCTCAATCAAACTCCTCCCCACGATCAGACTCCTCCCCTCAATCAAACTCCTCCCCACGATCAGACTCCTCCCCACGATCAGACCCCTCCCCTCGATCAGACTCCTCCCCACGATCAGACTCCTCCCCTCAATCAAACTCCTCCCCACGATCAGACTCCTCCCCACGATCAGACCCCTCCCCTCGATCAGACTCCTCCCCTCGATCAGACTCCTCCCCTCAATCAAACTCCTCCCCACGATCAGACTCCTCCCCTCAATCAAACTCCTCCCCACGATCAGACTCCTCCCCTCGATCAGACTCCTCCCCTCAATCAAACTCCTCCCCACGATCAAACTCCTCCCCACGATCAGACTCCTCCCCACGATCAGACTCCTCCCCTCGATCAGACTCCTCCCCACGATCAGACTCCTCCCCTCAATCAAACTCCTCCCCACAATCAGACTCCTCCCCACGATCAGACTCCTCCCCTCAATCAAACTCCTCCCCACGATCAGACCCCTCCCCTTGATCAGACTCCTCCCCTCGATCAGACTCCTCCCCACGATCAGACTCCTCCCCACGATCAGACTCCTCCCCTCGATCAGACTCCTCCCCTCGATCAGACTCCTCCCCACGATCAGACTCCTCCCCTCAATCAGACTCCTCCCCACGATCAGACTCCTCCCCACGATCAGACTCCTCCCCTCGATCAGACTCCTCCCCACGATCAGACTCCTCCCCACGATCAGACCCCTCCCCTCAATCAAACTCCTCCCCACGATCAGACTCCTCCCCTCAATCAAACTCCTCCCCACGATCAGACTCCTCCCCTCAATCAAACTCCTCCCCACGATCAGACTCCTCCCCTCGATCAGACTCCTCCCCATGATCAGACTCCTCCCCTCAATCAAACTCCTCCCCACGATCAGACTCCTCCCCACGATCAGACTCCTCCCCTCGATCAAACTCCTCCCCACGATCAGACCCGTCCCCTTGATCAGACTCCTCCCCACGATCAGTCTCCTCCCTCGATCAGACTCCTCCCTCAATCAGACTCCTCCCCACGATCAGACTCCTCCCCACGATCAGACTCCTCCCCTCGATCAGACTCCTCCCCACGATCAGACTCCGCCCCTCAATCAAACTCCTCCCCACGATCAGACTCCTCCCCACGATCAGACTCCTCCCCTCAATCAAACTCCTCCCCACGATCAGACTCCTCCCCTAAATCAAACTCCTCCCCACGATCAGACTCCTCCCCACGATCAGACTCCTCCCCACGATCAAACTCCTCCCCACGATCAGACCCCTCCCCTTGATCAGACTCCTCCCTCGATCAGACTCCTCCCCTCGATCAGACTCCTCCCCTCGACCAGACTCCTCCCCTCGATCAGACTCCTCCCCTCGATCAAACTCCTCCCCACGATCAGACTCCTCCCCTCGATCAAACTCCTCCCCACGATCAGACTCCTCCCCACGATCAGACTCCTCCCCACGATCAGACTCCTCCCCACGATCAGACTCCTCCCCTCGATCAGACTCCTCCCCTCGATCAGACTCCTCCCCTCGATCAGACTCCTCCCCTCGATCAAACTCCTCCCCACGATCAGACTCCTCCCCTCGACCAGACTCCTCCCCTCGATCAGACTCCTCCCCTCGATCAAACTCCTCCCCACGATCAGACTCCTCCCCTCAATCAAACTCCTCCCCACGATCAGACTCCTCCCCACGATCAGACTCCTCCCCTCGATCAAACTCCTCCCCACGATCAGACCCCTCCCCTTGATCAGACTCCTCCCCACGATCAGACTCCTCCCTCGATCAGACTCCTCCCCTCAATCAGACTCCTCCCCACGATCAGACTCCTCCCCTCGATCAGACTCCTCCCCACGATCAGACTCCTCCCCTCAATCAAACTCCTCCCCACGATCAGACTCCTCCCCACGATCAGACTCCTCCCCTCAATCAAACTCCTCCCCACGATCAGACTCCTCCCCTCGATCAGACTCCTCCCCTCGACCAGACTCCTCCCCTCGATCAGACTCCTCCCCTCGATCAGACTCCTCCCCACGATCAGACTCCTCCCCACGATCAGACTCCTCCCCTCAATCAAACTCCTCCCCACGATCAGACTCCTCCCTTCAATCAAACTCCTCCCCACGATCAGACTCCTCCCCTTGATCAGACTCCTCCCCTCGATCAGACTCCTCCCCTCAAACTCCTCCCCACGATCAGACTCCTCCCCTCAATCAAACTCCTCCCCACGATCAGACTCCTCCCCTCGATCAGACTCCTCCCCACGATCAGACTCCTCCCCACGATCAGACTCCTCCCCTCGATCAGACACCTCCCCACGATCAGACTCCTCCCCTCAATCAAACTCCTCCCCACGATCAGACTCCTCCCCACGATCAGACTCCTCCCCTCGATCAGACTCCTCCCCACGATCAGACTCCTCCCCTCAATCAAACTCCTCCCCACGATCAGACTCCTCCCCTCGATCAAACTCCTCCCCACGATCAGACTCCTCCCCACGATCAGACTCCTCCCCTCGATCAAACTCCTCCCCACGATCAGACTCCTCCCCACGATCAGACTCCTCCCCTTGATCAGACTCCTCCCCTCGATCAGACTCCTCCCCACGATCAGACTCCTCCCCTCGATCAGACTCTTCCCCTCGATCAGACTCCTCCCCTCGATCAGACTCCTCCCCTCGATCAGACTCCTCCCCACGATCAGACTCCTCCCCACGATCAGACTCCTCCCCTCGATCAGACTCCTCCCCACGATCAGACTCCTCCCCACGATCAGACTCCTCCCCACGATCAGACTCCTCCCCTCGATCAGACTCCTCCCCACGATCAGACTCCTCCCCTCGATCAGACTCCTCCCCACGATCAGACTCCTCCCCACGATCAGACTCCTCCCCTCGATCAGACTCCTCCCCTCGACCAGAATCCTCCCCTCGATCAAACTCCTCCCCTCGATCAGACTCCTCCCCATGATCAGACTCCTCCCTCGATCAAACTCCTCCCCACGATCAGACCCCTCCCCACGATCAGACTCCTCCCCACGATCAGACTCCTCCCCACGATCAGACCCCTCCCCACGATCAGACTCCTCCCCACGATCAGACTCCTCCCTCGATCAGACTCCTCCCCTCGATCAGACTCCTCCCCACGATCAGACTCCTCCCCTCAATCAAACTCCTCCCCACGATCAGACTCCTCCCCACGATCAGACTCCTCCCCTCAATCAAACTCCTCCCCACGATCAGACTCCTCCCCTCGATCAGACTCCTCCCCTCGACCAGACTCCTCCCCTCGATCAGACTCCTCCCCTCGATCAGACTCCTCCCCACGATCAGACCCCTCCCTCGATCAGACTCCTCCCCTCGATCAGACCCCTCCCCACGATCAGACTCCTCCCCTCGATCAAACTCCTCCCCTCGATCAGACTCCTCCCCACGATCAGACTCCTCCCCTCGATCAGACTCCTCCCCTCGATCAAACTCCTCCCCACGATCAGACCCCTCCCCTTGATCAGACTCCTCCCCACGATCAGACTCCTCCCCACGATCAGACTCCTCCCCTCAATCAAACTCCTCCCCACGATCAAACTCCTCCCCATGATCAAAGTCCTCCCCACGATCAGACTCCTCCCTCGATCAGACTCCTCCCCTCGATCAAACTCCTCCCCACGATCAGACTCCTCCCCACGATCAGACTCCTCCCTCAATCAGACCCCTCCCCTCCATCAGACCCCTCCCCTCGATCAAACTCCTCCCCACGATCAAACTCCTCCCCTCGATCAAACTCCTCCCCACGATCAGACTCCTCCCTCGATCAGACCCCTCCCCACGATCAGACTCCTCCCTCGATCAGACCCCTCCCCTCGATCAGACCCCTCCCCTCGATCAAACTCCTCCCCACGATCAAACTCCTCCCCTCGATCAAACTCCTCCCCACGATCAGACTCCTCCCTCGATCAGACCCCTCCCCACGATCAGACTCCTCCCTCGATCAGACCCCTCCCCGCGCCGAAGTTCGCCCTGTCCTCTGAGCGCTGCCGCTACGCCCCCCTTCACCAGGCCCTTTAACTCCACGCTCTTCCCGGGCCTCAGGATTCTGGCTTCTCCAGCCTTCACCACTTGACCTCAGGATGGTGGGTCAGGCCGCCCACTCCTCGACCTCAGCCTTGGGCTGGGTCTTATGGCATATGGCCATGGCCCTAGTCTCAGGATAGGGTGGTCAGGCCTTTTCCATCGCCCTGTCATCCAGCCTCAGGCCTGCTCATGCCCCGGGTCACACACATCCCCAAAACAAGGAGTTGAGGCTTTTCTGCCCCTTCACCTCCTGGCCCTGTGGAAGCACAGCCAGGGCAGGCCCCGCCCGCTGTACCTGTCTTAAGCACCAGCAAGTGCAGCGCGTCGTCCTGCAGGTAGGAGGCAGCGGCGATCTCGTGCGTGGGGATGCGCAGGATGAGCTCCTCGTTGTCGCGCCAGGTGAGCAGCAGGCAGCGGGCCGAGAGGCTCAGGATGCTGTCCTGCTCCGCCGTGGTTTTCAGCGGCAGCTCCTTCAGCTGCTGTGTGGTGGGTCGGATCTCCTGAGTCCCCCGGGGCCTTGGGTGGGACACGCAGAAGGGGACAGACCCTGCCTCTCCCCTCTCCAGAACCTTACCCTGGCGGTGTCCAGCAGCTGCAGGAGCTCATCTCGGCTGGAGGGATTCAGTGAGGAGGTTACCCAGGTGAGGTGGCCCAGGAACTGGACGGCAAAAAGGGATGGGGTGGGGGGATGGTGGGAGAAGGACAGGAAGAAGTCACTCGGAAGCCTTGGAGGACCCTGACCTTATTGATACAGTGCAGATAGACTGAGATAGAAATACCTGCATTAATAATAAGAACCTGATCGTAACTGTTATTGAGCCAGTCGTAGAAGCCAGACACAGCACAGTCCTGAGAGCTTTGTGCACATTCATCCTCTTTATTTAAATCTGTTTTTATTATTTTTGTTGTTTGTTTGTTTGTTTAGAGCAGTGGTTCTCAACCTTCCTAATGCCGCGACCCTTTAATACAGTTCCTCATGTTGTGGTGACCCCCAACCATAAAATTATTTTCGTTGCTACTTCATAAGTGTAATTTTGCTACTGTTATGAATCGTAATGTAAATATCTGATATGCAGGATGTATTTTCATTGTTACAAATTGAACATATTTAAAGCATAGTGGTTAATCACAAAAACAATATGTAATTATATATGTGTTTTCCCATGGACTTAGGTGACCCCTGTGAGAGGGTTGTTCGACCCCCAAAGGGGTCTCGACCCACAGGTTGAGAATCGCTGGTTTAGAGAGAAGAAGGGAGAGGGAGAGGGAGAGAGAGAGAAACATTGATGTCCTGGGCATGTGCCCTGACCGGGAATCAAACTGATGACCTTTCAGTGCACTGGACAATGTCCAACCAACGGAGCCACACCGGCCAGGACTCATCCTCAAGTTAAGCACGAGAAAACTAAGGCACAGCACAGGTAAATAACATGTCCAATTTATATCACTAGAAAGGACAAAACTGGACTGCACACACCACAGCCCACACTCTCACTGCTAGCTTATATTGCCTGAACACAGTTATTTAGCTATGATGGAATCAAAAGTCACTATAATAGCTTGAAAGAACTGACCTGAGTGGCTCTGTCCACCTCAAACACCAGGATCAACTGACTGTGCAAGTCACTCACCCTCTTTGTGATCTTGTTGCAGAAATCAAATAGAAAGGAATGAATGTTGTATCAAACTCGGACATCATTTTGTGAGAAAAATGATGCCCCAAATCAATAAATTGATTCTTTATTCATTCTTAGTTATAACTTAATGCTATCAGTTAACTTATGTTATTCCATCAATATAAGAATGAAGTTGTTGTTTTTTTATTACTTTTAGTTTTATTCTTCTAGGTGGATTTAACTAATCAAACCTTTTCTTTTTATTCTGTATGAAATTTCAGTTCCCAAATTTTAAGTATTAGCTTTTCCCTCCATATGGGAATGCCAGATAAAATACAAGATTCCAGTTACATTTGAATTTCACATAAACAACAAATGCTTGTTGTTGTTGTTGTTTTAGTATGTTTTTAGTCCCATGCAGTATTTGGGACATACATTAGTGCTAAAAAAGTATTACTACCCTAGCCAGTTTGGCTCAGTGGATAAAGCATTGGCCTACGGACTAAAGGGTCCCAGGTTCAATCCGGTCAAGGGCACATGCCCAGGTTGCGGGCTCAATCCCCAGTGGGCAGTGTGCGGGAGGCAGCCAATCAATGATTCTCTCTCATCATTGATGTTTCTATCTTTCTCTCCCTCTCCCTTCCTCTCTGGAAAAAAAAAAAAAATGAATGTAAGCCCTGACTGGTTTGGCTCAGTGGATAGAGCGTCGGCCTGCGGACTCAAGGATCCCAGGTTCGATTCTGGTCAAGGGCATGTACCTTGGTTGTGGGCACATCCCCAGTGGCGGGTGTGCAGGAGGCAGATGATCATGTTTCTCTCTCATCGATGTTTCTAGCTCTCTATCCCTCTCCCTTCCTCTCTGTAAAAAATCAATAAAATATATTTTTTAAAACAAACAAACAAACAAAAAAATATATATATATGTATATTTTTAAAGTATTACTTGTTTACCGGAAATTCAAATATAACTGTTTTTGCTAAATCTGACATTCTTAACCCCATATCAATCTTCCTTGGGTAAGAGGATTCTTCACTGCTCCTTCCTGGTGTTCCTGAAATAGAAGTCAAGTCCTTGAGTGGTCCCAGTCCCCTGTGGTTTGCTGAACTGGGTTCCTTGGACCGGGACACTGAGTAGCAACAAGGCCTCTACAGGAATCTCACAGGAAGGTGCGGCTTCTGAGCACACAGAGCCCTTTCCATCGGCTCTCCCCTGGGGGAGGTCCGGAGCCCCGTGTTGCGATGGGGACACTGACACTGAGCACGGGGAGGTCACTTGCTGAGTGTCCACAGTACGAGGCACGGACATGGCCGCCCAGATTCTTTCCTCCGAGTCTCCTTTGTGTGAGACAGGGCTGTTCAGGGGTAGGTGTGGGGGAGAGGTGGGTAAGGTCTCTCTTGATGGGTCCAGGACATGCTACCCCCAAATATGGCACCTTATTAAGAATATCTTGTCCTGCCCTAACTGGTTTGGCTCAGTGGATAGAGCGTTGGCCTGCGGACTGAAAGGTCCCAGGTCCGATTCCGGTCATGGGCATGTACCTGGGTTGTGGGCACATCCCCAGTAGGAGGTGTGCAGAAGGCAGCTGATCGATGGTTCTCTCTCATCGATGTTTCTAACTCTCTATCCCTCTCCCTTCCTCTCTGTAAAAAATCAATGAAATATATATTTAAAAAAGAATATCTTGTCCTGCTGGCATGGCTCAGTGGTTGAGCATTGACCTATGAACCAGGAGGTCCCAGTTTGATTTCTGGTCGGGGCATAAGCCCAGGTTTGGGCTTGATCCCCAGTGTGGGGCATGCAGGAGGCTTCTCTCATCATTGGTGTTTCTATATATCTCTCTCTCCCTTCCTCTCTGAAATCAATAAGAATATATTTTTTAAAAAGAATATCTTAAGCCAAAGGAGTTTGAGAGAACATTCTGACCTTCCCTCCCCTGAAAGCAGGAGATAAATCTGTGTGAGAGGTGCCCTCGCTGTACCAGGAGGAAGGCAGACATGGACTTAGGCCCGAGAAGGCTCTATAAACGAACCTGGTTACTTCCTCACCCTTTCCTAGCCCTAGCCCAAACCCTCTGCCTTGTCAATTCTTCACACAGCTATTGTTTCTTTGTCAAAGAGGCGTAAAAGCTTCCTGCTCTGGTGACTCCTCAGGGCTCTTCATTCTCGTGTGAGGGCTCCTGTGGACATGCAACACTTGAATAAAACGTGGACGCTTTTCTCCTGTGAATCTGTATTTGTCAGTTTAATATTCAGACCAGCCAGGGACACCAAGAGGGTGGAGGAACACTTTTCCCCCCCTACACCCCTCACCCCAAGAATGGGCCCACCCCTTCTCCTATTCCTCACGCACCTTGACCTCTTTCTCCAGGTAGTCACACAGCAGAATCTGGGGGTCGATGAGGTAGTCAGGGGGATAGAGGGGCATGGAGTGCAGGGGCCGGCGGCTCACACTGCTCCGAACGGCGGCTCCTGCTCGGCGGGCAGCCTTTGGGAACATCAGCCTTAGGAGGGGGCCCTGTGTAAAGATGGGGGGCAGGCAGTAGATTGGAGCCCAGCAGGGGAGCAGGTAGGTGTCTCAAGCCAGATTGGAAGCCTATAGCACGGAACTGCTCTGCAGAGGGCCTTCCGTCCTGGGAGGCAGGGAGCAGGGGAATGGGCCTCTTAAGGGTCCTTGGACTGAGAAGCTACAGGAGGGATCCCCCAGGATACCAGGGAAGGAGGTGGGGAGTATCTCCCAAAAGAATCTGTCTGGCTGGGTTTCCCTGGACGGTGTCTGTCTGTCTATATTCCAGGGATGGCAACGGCCACTGAGAACAGGGAGGACAGGCTAGGGAGTTTGGAACCCAAATGTCTGACTGCTCCAGGGCGAGGAGAAAAATCCTTCCAAATGAGAAGAAGGGCCCTGTTTCTGCCCCCACTCCCCCCGCACCCCCCCCCCCCAGGCTTCCCACTTCCCCAGCTCCAGGGCCATTTCTCTGCCCTGCATCCCTCCCAGCCTCCCACCTACCTTTTTCCCTTTCTTGACTTCATATTCCATGGTGAAGCGTCCCTTCTACTTCTGCTGCCCTCCTAGCCGCCACTCCCCCCCTCAACCCCCCCCCCTGCCAAGTTCCCCTTTGTTCCTTTTCCTGCCTGGTCGGAAACTCCACCAGCCCTGGAGTTCCTGTCCCTCCTGTGTGATAGTGAGCAGAGTGGAGGGGGCGGGATGTAGCCTTGGGACCTTCAGCTCAATAGTGGAAGCCCAGCCAGAGCAACTGACCTGGGGAGACAGTGTCAAGGCCTCCAGCCAGAGGCTTGCTGTTGAGGGGGCTTGGGAGTTGAGTGAGGCTAGGGGTCCCCTAAATTTGGAATCAGAACATCCCAAACTCTACCCCTACTTCCACCGCTGACCTTGCTGGGTGACGTTGGCAAGGCAAGTCAGTTCCCCCTTTCACGGCCTCAGTGCTCCCCACCCCACTGTGAACTGGGAGTTACTATTGTCTCCCTCTCTGGGCTGCTGTGGAGAGAACTAAAGGAAAGAGTTGGTGTGAAAGTGCTTCATCAGCTAAACAATACCGTGTCCAAGCAGGTTATGATTGTTAAAACTTACCCTTACTGTTAAGGGAGGCAGTACTGAATGGGCTTCAGAGACAGGCTGCCCGAGTTGAATCCTGCCTTTGCCACTTCCTAGGGTTATGACCTTGGGCAAATCCTTTAACCTCCTGTGACTCAGTTTCCTCATCCATAAAATGGGCATATACAGTTTGACTTCATAGTGCCCTTGTAAGGATTAAATGCATTTAGAAGAGTTCCTGGCACATGAAGTGGCCAATAAATTTTTTTTAAAAATATATTTTTTATTGATTTTTTACAGAGAGGAAGGGAGAGGGATAGAGAGTTAGAAACATCGATCAGCTGCCTCCCGCACACCTCCTACTGGGGATGTGCGCGCAACCAAGGTACATGCCCTTGACCGGAATTGAACCTGGGACCCTTCATTCCGCAGGCCGACGCTCTATCCACTGAGCCAAACCGGTCAGAGCGGCCAATAAATATTAACTACGTATCTCTCTGTCTCTGTGTCCTGGGCTATAAAAGGCCCCCTTTGTGGTTCTGTGCTGAGCACTATGTATTTCGTCTCACTTATTCCTCACAACTTTGGGTTACATTATTATACCCATTATACAGACTTTTTTTAAAAAAAGGCTCAACTGCAGAGGCTGGCCGAGGAAGTCACAATGAATAAGAGGAGGACCTGGGATTTCTGCCTGGTCTGGATCTGAAACCTGGTCACTCGCCTCTAGGGCCTATCCACGCCGCATGCCGCACCCAGGACAGTGGGAAAGGTTCTGACTGACCCGTCCTCCCCTTGCCATGACCTGTGGCTTCCGGAGACCCAAGCTCTGGACCTGAGTTGCTATAGGATCCAGGGCAGATCGCTTATCATAACCTCTCTGGGCCTCAGCTTCCTGTGTTTCCAGTGGGAACAACAATCCCAAAGCCCTGCCCTGCAGTCAGAGGTGTGACAAGAAAGAGATCAGGCCCTGGATGGGGGAAGCTGTTGCAGATTGTGAAGTGTAGTTGCCAAACAATGCACAGGATTGTTTTGGAAGCTCTTCTGAAAGCATGGGTGTGCCAGGTCAGTGGCTGTTGGAATGAGGGTCGGAGCTCCCCTTGCCTCTGGGTGTGAGGGCAGCAGGAGACTGCCAGCTACCAGCCTTCCCCCTGACATCCCTCCCCTTTTCCAGGGAGGGGAAATGGCCCCGACTGCTTAGTGCAAGCTCACACAGCCACACCCTCCTGCTCCCCTACATCCTGCCAGTCATCTCCTAGCAGCAGGAAGAAAGGTCTCCATTAGCCTGCCGGCCAGCAGGAAGAAGCCAGACTACTTTACCAATCCCTGACGGCTGCTGACATCAAAACTCCCACGTAACCCCTGGAGTAAGCCTTGCATTCCCAGCAGCGGCAGGGAGTGAAAGGTGATTTCTTGCTCTGGCACCCCCACGGCTGGCTTTTGCAAACCTTTTCCTTTCTCTGTAAAATTAGGACTTCCGTTATTTCTGAACTAACTCCGAACATCACTGAACTGCTGGGAATCTCAGATAGGACAAGAGGTGTTCTGAGTGCCACTAGAAACAGCAAGCTACCTGTGTATTCCCTGCAGGGCCCCCCTCGACTCCCTCCCAGGGCCATAAACAGATCCAGTGCTTAGAAAATGTCACTGAGCCCTGACCGGTTTGGCTCAGTGGATAGAGCGTCGGCCTGCGGACTCAAGGGTCCCAGGTTCGATTCCGGTCAAGGGCATATACCTTGGCTACAGGCACATCCCCAGTAGGGGGTGTACAGGAGGCAGCTGATGGATGTTTCTAACTTTCTATCCTTCTCCCTTCCTCTCTGTAAAAAATCAATAAAGTATATTAAAAAAAAAGAGAGAAAGAAAATGTCACTGAAAGTAGGTGGGGACAGGCGGACCTGGGTTCAAGTGTTTATGACCTTGAACAGGTAGTTAGTTCATCTCTGGGAGCTCAGAGTCCTCACGTGTCAAAAGCAGGATAATGCTGGCGCTTGCCTCAGAAGGCAGCTGCAGGGATTAAATGGAAACAGAAGCACACAATGGTAACATTTATTATTAAAATTAGCTTGTGAATCATAAAAGAGATGAGTAAAACAAAGTCCTTGCTCTCGAAGACTTAGCAGTTGTGGCAAATAGAATTTATCTCTTTTGAGCCACCTCCGGCTGGTTGGCAGGGGCTGCCTGGAGCTCTGTGTGTGTAGAGGATTATAAACACCAGGTCTACTCCCAGCATGAGAAGGGGATTGATCCCACAGCTTGCCATGGGGCAGGAGCGGGGAATGTGGCAGCTGGTGTTCAGTGCATATGCTGACCCTGACCTGGTTAGAGAGATGAACTCTGATATAAGGCAAGCGACTAGTTGGGGGAAGGCAGAGTCACCAAGCCAAGCCTTGAAGGGCATATGGAAGGAAGGCCACTCTGGGCGGAGGGAACAGCTTGAACACACACACAGAGTGCCTGAATTGTGATGCTTTGGGCTGCAAAGAACAGACTACTCTACCGAAGGCGGCTTAGGCAAGAAGGACAATCTCTTCAGGCAGGAAGTTCAATGGTGAGTGATTTCAGGGCTGGTCAATCGCACAGCTCAAAAAAAAAAAAAAAAAGGGAGACATATGTAATACTCTTTGTAATACTTTAAGCAATAAAAAAAAAATTGAAACAAACAAAAAAATGGCAGCAAGTTCCTTATAGTTCCACTTTGCTGGTCTTATGGGCTGACTTGTGTCCCCCAATATTTATACGTTGAAGCACTAACACCCCGTACGTACCTCAGAATGTAACTGTTTCTGGAGATCAGTTAAAATGAGGCCATAGAGAGGGCTCTGATCTAAGCTGACTGGTGTTCCTACAAGAAGAGGAAATCCGTGCACACAGAGAGACACCAGGGATGCGCACACACAGAGGGAAGACCGTGTGAGGACAATGCGAGAAGGCGGCCGTCAGCAAGCCAAGGCGAGAGGTCTCGGAAGAAACCAGTCCTGCCGGCATTTTGATCTGGGATTTCTGGCCTCGGAATTATGAGGAAATGAGTGTCTGTTGCTTAAGTCCCCAGCGCGTGGTAGTTTGTTTTGGCGCCTCTAGAACACTCATACAGCTGGCAAGATGGCTGTTGCGGCTTTGGGAGTAATACATCCATCACGATCCTGCCAGGGTTTCCTCCTCGTGTGTGTTTCTATCGTGAGGGAAAACCTTTCCCAGATCCTTCAAAAGACTTCTCTCGGGAACCTAAGGACCAGATAGATTAGCCAGAGCATATTTCGGCTGTAACAGAGACCTCAAGAGCAGTGGCCTAGACCTGGTGGAAGCGTATCTCTTCCATCATAAAAGTAGCCCAGGACGGGTGTGGGAGCCGCAGGTGCGCAGGGCCCAGGGGCTTCCTAGCTTGCTCCACCACACTAGGGCAGTGATGGCGAACCTTTTGAGCTCGGCGTGTCAGCATTTTGAAAAACCCTAACTTAACTCTGGTGCCGTGTCACATATAGAAATTTTTTGATATTTGCAACCATAGTAAAACAAAGATTTATACTTTTGATATTTATTTTATATATTTAAATGCCATTTAACAAAGGAAAATCAACCAAAAAAATGAGTTCAGAGGTGACACGCGTGTCATAGGTTTGCCATCACTGCACTAGGGGGCGCTCTCAGCTTCAAGGTGGCTCTCCACACAGCTGTAGTGTCACCAATGGAAGGGTAAACAGAGCCAGAGGAGGGCACAACCCCTCCTTTTATTTTTTGTAATCCTCACCTGAGGATACGTCCTTTTCAGTGATGAGAGAGAGAGAGAGAGAGAGAGGTCAATTGACTGCGCCTAAAAGAGTAAAGAGTGCCTGGCATATAGTAAGTACTCAATAAATATTTGTTTTGGGGGGTTAGAAACTTCAGTCTGGGTCCTGATTTTGTCATGGACTCAGACCTCTGGCAAGTCGGCCCCCACCCCATCTCTTTTTCCCCTTTATCTGTAAAATGAGGCATTTGGAGCTAGTTCCTAAAACCTTTGCTCACCCCCTCCATTCTGGTTGCCTGATGGAGGCTCTGGCCAATGGAGGGAGCTGTGTGTAACAGCCTAACCCTCCCAGCCAAAGGTGTTTGTGGTAGAGGGTGTCCTTCCTCCCCGTCCCGCCTCCCCCATCCCCTTCCTCCGACCCAGAACAGCCAAAACAACAGGACACAGACAACGCGTACTGAAATGACTTTTAATATCTCATGTCGCAGCAAAATTAAAAATATACAAAAAGTTTGTGGTGTACAAAAGAGTCTCAGTACAGAAGCCCCAGCTTGGGGCCCCTCCCCCTCCCGGGGGAAGCGCAGAGGGGTGGGCGGGGGTGGAGGGCTGAGGATGGCACAGATGTAGTAAATACTAGGAGGTCGGACAGGAACAGGAGACAGAAATGGACAGGGGTGGGGGCCAATTTGGGAGGCGAGAATCACCCGGAATTGTGCTGAGGGAGGGAGATCAGCCCCTCAGGCATGGCTAGTGGTTCTTGGAGTAGGGGGCTGGGTTGGAGAGGAGGGGTCAGTCCTGGGGGTGCCCT